ATATAAGAAATAGAAACTTAAATAAACAAAGTTTGCAGCATCACTTCAATAATGAAAATAAATCCAAAATTTGATAACTTGAAAAAATAAATTAGCGAACAGTTGTACTAAGAGTAGTTCAGGTATTTTTGTAAATGGATGTTTCATTAAAATGGAATATAAAGAAAAGTCTGTAACCTTAGTTCAATGTTGTATATTTAAAATAGTTTTTCTTCATCGTTGGAATGTTATCAATATAAGGCATATACATTTGTGCCTCTAATTGTTCAATACTCATCGTTTTCAAAAGGATGATGGGGATGGCCCAAAGCCCTAAAACAAAAATATTCCATTAAAATTTTGTTTACAATAAATGTCACAAAACTTACGCTGTCATCGGAACAAATCTCTGGTTAACATTAAAACTGCCAATACATTCCAAATCTTCTTTTGAAAGTTCAAAATCGAAAATGTTAAAGTTTTCTGCTATTCTCGATTTGGTAACGGATTTTGGAATGGTAACTACACCTCTTTGAACTTGAAATCTCAGAACGACTTGTGCAGTAGATTTGTTGTATTTTTTTGCCAAATTTACTAATTTTGGATCGTCCAATAATTTTGGCTCATCTGCTTTTGCCCAAGGTCTATCAGGTGAACCTAATGGACTGTAAGCAGTTATAACAATGCCTTTCGATTTACAAAAATTAAGTAACTTATCCTGGGTGAGATAGGGATGACATTCAACCTATTAGAAAATAAGAAAATTGTAATACATATATCACATTATTTAATTAAAAACTATTAAACTTTCTTTTTACCTGGTTAATGACAGGTTTAATTGTTGCCACATTTAAAATCCTTTCGATCTGTTTTCTGTTAAAATTGGACAGACCAATGGATTTTACCAAACCTTTCTGAACCGCCTTCTCTAGCTCTTTCCATGTGTCCACATAATCGACATTACTAAATAGAATATTTCCCTGTTCATCTTTTGGAAACAATTCTCCATCTTCCTAACGTCAACAAAATATTCAAATAATTACAAACATTTAAAGTACATACTTATAAAAAAGCTTTGATAATTTGTTAACGATTTATAAAAGAGCTGTGTTTTATAATTTGTTAATTAATTATAGTGGCAAAATCATAAAATACATAGATATATCTAACGAATATAAAAAAGACATGAATTTATGCTAAATTGTGTAACATTAGCGCAATAAATTTACTTTTGTACATAATGATATTACTATATAATAAACAAATACTTTGATATAATAATTTTCTGTAAAGTGACCTTTTTTAATTGATTNGTATTCCTTTTTTTATAAATTCCCTAAGAAGAATAATATACTTATATTTTAATAAAACACAAGAAAGTTTCAACAATAAAAATATACTAAAACAACTCGACAATTGTTTCGACCTATCATATTTTTATTGTTGAAACATTCTTGTGGGATATTTAGATTTGGAATGGATAACGATGATCCAGGATTGGTTCTCCCCATTCGGTGAGCCCATTAATGAAGTCGTTTAATTAGATGTTTCACCTGCTGCTGCGGTTGACATCTTCAGGATGTAAAATTCATCGCTACGGTTGTACTGCATTAAGTACTCTTTACATTCTCTGAAGATGCCAACCGCAAAATCTGGTGAAAACAACTACATCGATGAACTCACTGATGGACCGAATAAAGAGCCTTGTTTAAGTAACGACGGTCGTTTATGCTTTTGCAATTTCATAATCTATTGTACTATATTTAAATACCAATTCGCTTTCACATTTAATTTAAATTACACAACAATTTACATTACAGACCATTTTTTAAATGAAATAATCAATTAAGCCCTTTAAATAAAATCCAATAAATTATAGTTTTACAAATTACTTAATACTCATCGTTTACAAACGGATGGTCCTTGTGCGTTTTTGCTCTGAAAGAAAGAAAATGTACAAGATAAATTTAATCTTACAATTACGTATTGAAATATTAACAATATACATATGTATATCAACAAACATCAAATCTCGAATGTATTACTATCACGTTCTATAAATTGATAAACAAACAACATAAACTGGTGTATTTAATAAATAAGTGAACATTAATATTCACTATTTCAAATATGTTGCGTTACATTTTTAAATCCTCTACAAATAATATTTGGAAATCCAACATTTTATATGGTGTACTATTTAATAATAATTTTACCTAATGAAGTCTAATCGTACGATTTTTAAAATTTCTAGGTATATACGTATATTTTACATATATTGCAATTCGGAAGTAGTATTTACTAATATTAGATTTGAAACTAAACATTTCGCCGTTGTATGTTCCTTTTAAACGATTACGCAACGACTGTTGTAGCGAGGCATCAGGAACTTTTATTAGTTTGATATTGTAATTATTTAATTTCATCTTATATAAAAAATGAATAAAAAATATGGAAAACGTACTCATCATACGGACAAATTCTTCCATTGCAATCAAATGAATTGATGTAAGCTACATCCTCTGGAGTCAGTTTAAAATCGAATATGTCAATATTTTCTATAATTCTTTGCTTACTAACTGATTTTGGAATGACAATGTGCCCCCTTTCTACTTGATACCTGAGAAGAATTTGAGGAGAGGATTTCTTATACTTTTCAGCAATGCTCTTCAATTTAGGGTCATCCATTAATTTGGGGTCGTCTGGTTTAGCCCATGGCCTATCTGGTGATCCAAGAGGACTGTATGCTGTGATGACAATGTTTTTCGACTTACAATAATCACCCAATTTCTTTTGGGCGAGGTAAGGATGGCATTCTACCTATGTATTATACTTTTATAGTATACAGTTTTTTTATTTCCCATTTATACGTTAACTATTTAATTTTTTTTAATTAATAAATAAAAGGGTTTTTGCAAACCTGGTTAGTAACAGGGAGAACTGTAGCGTTTTCTAAAATTCTATCAATCTGTCTCTTATTGAAATTGGAAACACCAATAGACTTGGCTAATCCTTTCATATGCACCTTTTCTAATGATTTCCAAGTGTCGACATAATCCACGTCGCTAAAGATAACATTACCGGCGGAATCTTTGGGGACAAGATCGTTTCCTTCCTAAAAAGCAAGAGAGCGTCAAGAAAACCACACGGGGTACTTTGTAACAGAAACTACTATAGCTAAAACACTAAATCTGAAATTCCACAAAAGCTTTAGCAACATAAAACTCGTTTTGACACCCATGTCATCCTCTGATAGTATTTCTGACTAATAAACTAAGGTTGCTAAAAGTTTTTATTTATTAGTAAACGAAAATCTGTTCTGGACTCAAGTGATAAAAACAGTCTTTTAAACAAAATTCATCGTTTTTCTTTAATTTTGGAATGTAGTGTTTTATTTAGTTTAACATCAATTAATAATGTGTTCTCAGGACTTCTTTGCTCATCACAAACAAGTAATAGGGGGGAGGGCTTGGTAAGCGAATTACGTTATAAAAGTGAATGGATTTTACATTATTGTAGTTTCATTATTTCATATACTTGAATAAAACTTACTTTCCATCCATACGGCCAATGAATAAGATAAAGGTCAACATAATCTAAGCCCAAATCGCTCAAAGTTCTTTTAAGGGCTGACTCAACCGAATTTGGATGATGTCTATTGTTCCATACTTTACTGGTGATGTACAAATCATCCCTTTTTACAACTCCCTCTTTAATTTTAGCAGCAATACCTGCGCCTACTTCTTTTTCATTTTCGTATAAATGTGCACCGTCGATGTGTCGATATCCTGCGTCAATAGCGTCTTTTACTGCTTGAGTTACTTCACCAGGTTTGGACTATATAACATGTAAGGAAAATTGCAATACTTAATTAAACAGTGCGCATACATTTAATATTATACATCAATTAACTTATTCATTTCAACGTTTAGATAAATAAATTTCTTATCTCTTCTATTTCTTCATCAATTAAAGTTATATTTATTTTATGAAAAACATATTACAGAAATTTAATAAAATTTTTAGTTATCAAATATATTTATTTCGCTAACAACCATCTTATCAGTATTTTTAAGAGCTTGTTTAATCCTAAACTAA